GGCTGAGGGAACCCACCATGGGCTGCAAACACACTTTTTTTAAAAAATATATTTTATTAATTTTTTACAGAGAGGAAGGGAGAGAGATAGAGAGCTAGAAAGGTCGATGAGAGAGAAACATTGACCAGCTGCCTCCTGTACACCCCCTACTGGGGATGTGCCCGCAACCAATGTACATGCCCCTGACCGGTATCGAACCCGGGACCTTTCAGTCCACAGACCGATGCTCTACCACTGAGCCAAACCAGCTTCGGCATGCAAACACACCTTCTTATTGTGTAAGCCGACAGAAGTTTGTGCTTTGAGGGTTTGAAGAAGTCCAAACACCAAGATATTTCGAACTCAAGCTAAATAACTGCCAAAACAAAAGGGTTTCCGTGTGAGGCAAAAGGCTCACATTTATGTTATGATTTTTTCCTACCAAACACCGCTCCATTAAACAAAACAAATAAAAGCCCCTGAACCTCCAACACTAAAGAAACCCAATTCTCTTTCCTTATGTTTTTCTTTCTCCTCATTTAGAGGAAGAGGCCACAAATAAAAAATTTGAGGCAACAACAGAGAAAAGAACAGAAAGCATTAATTTTAGACAAAACTCTGAAACAATGGTCTAAAGAAGAATCTCTATTTAAAAAATCATACTGGAAAAGAACTATTCATGGAAAAATAAAAATTTTAAGTAATCCTGGAACCTGAGTAAAAGAACAGTGAAGGTCTGTAAGGCAGAGAAGCTGAAAACTTGCTCCAACTCCTTACCCATCAATACGCCCGCGTTAAATCTTACAATAAGACGTTTAACCTCCACCAACACTCGCTCCTAACCTGACACTGCCGGGGAGAACATAATAAAATCCAGAAGAATGCTCTCTGTTACTTTCAAATGAAAGAATGCCAAATAAAACTTGAAAAACCAGCCCTGTGATCCCTCTCTCTCTGTGTGACTTTTATAATAGATATAAGGAGTTTGTATTTTCTTTTTCACCCTTTACAAGGTATAATAATAATAAAACTGAGTGCCCATAATAATAAAATATTCACGTCACCGTGAGATCTAGAACGTTATCACCACTGTTGTCGCCACCTGTTCCTTTCAACAAAAGGCATCCTTAGCATAACTCCAAACAAAAATGTTGAATTAAGATGATCTGGATAAAAGCTGAACTTTATGAAAAAGGAAAAGATAATTCAAGAATTTAGACCTTTAATTAGAACGACGAAGTTAAAGAATGCAAGACCAGCAATGGCAATCAACACTTCTTTCCTGTAAACTTGGAAGTTGCCCGAGAAGACTGTACCTTTTCTTTAAAACTGAGAATATATTCATGGGTTTCATTCCTTTATGCAAATGTTGGCAACAAGAATAGAGAACTTGACTATAATATTATTACTTAGGTAAGCAGCCTTTCCCAGTGAGAAAGAGAAACGCTCTGAAATCCCCCAGGGAAATGGGGAAGTAAATCTGCAGAGTACACAATACAAAGCAATTGCTAATTTGAATGAGATTGAAAGGCCTTCTAGCCCTGGCCAGGTAGCTCAGTTAGTGAGAACTGTCATCCTGCTACACCAAGGTTGTGGGTTTGATCCCTGGTCATGACACACACAAGAATCAACCAATAAATTCATAAGTAAGTGGCATAACAAATTGATATTTCTCGCTCTCCCCGTTCTTCTGTCTCTAAAAAATCAATAGAAATAAGTACATAAAGGCCGCTCTAAATAGACACATCATAAAAAAATACAGCGACAGCATATGTGGGAGAGAGAATGACTGAAAACCCACCCCACTCCCAGAAATAGTAGTGGTACACTGGCTTACACGAGGCACTCAAATAATAATTTTCATGACAATTTAGAGAAATGGGCTTAAACTTAACACGAGGTTGGCTAGTTTTCTTTATAAACAGATACAGCACAACATCAGACAGACACCTGTGATAGGCTTGTCGACTGAGAATCCTGCCACGAAAGAACTAAATCTTATTCTAACATCAGAGAGGCCTTACCTTGTGGCAAACAGAAACATCCTAGATAGCAACCCTCCGGCCACCTGAATGTCATACTCAGGCGGGTAAAAAGCCATTGTACCCCGCTCCTGCGCTCTCTGCTCCTCCCCGACAGCCTGAACCGCCCTGAACTTGCCAAGTGTAGTGCCAGCGGGAGGGACCTCACGCCCAGTCACCTCTGTACACCGGCCAATTAGAGTTCAATGCCTCCTCTGGAAGAGGGAGGACAGATGGGGAGCAGCTCAGCAGGGCACGTGCTGAGTAATGTTTCCTGAGAAGAACCAGCCTTTCAGCATGAGCTTAGAAATGCCAGAATTCTGTTTTGCGGGCAGGAAGAGGAGGGAAGCAAGGAAAATAATCTGATAAAAATTCATCAAACTGAAATCAGGACGTTTCCTTGAATGATCTTGTCTGCTAAACCCACACCCTCCTCCTCCACATGCAAAAATGCCCCTGTCTGCAAAAGGGAGGTAATTGCTTTAAGCTTCCCACAGTTTGGGAGACTAGTAAAGCAGGGGTCCCACACCAACATCCCCAAGGCCTCCTAAGCCTCAGTCCTGAGAACACAAAGTCAGTATCATCGGGGAGGCAGACTCATGGCCCAGGGAAGGGCAAAGTGCCCGCTGAACTAACCTGGCTGCTCACTGAGAGTGAATTAGGAGTCAAGCCCTGGCCGAAACCGGTTTGGCTCAGTGGACAGAGCGTTGGCCTGCGGACTGAAAGGTCCCAGGTTCAATTCCGGTCAAGGGCATGTATAATACCTTGGTTGTGGGCACATCCCCAGTAGGGGGTGTGCAGGAGGCAGCTGATCAATGTTTCTCTCTCATTGATGTTTCTAACTCTCTATCCCTCTCCCTTCCTGTAAAAAAAAAAATCAATAAAATATACTTTAAAAAAAAAAAAAAAAAAAGGAGTCAAGCCCTGAGTTTCTATCATCCGTTCATCTTGATTGACTGGATGGAGCACAAAGCACGTCAGCACGTATGGGTAAATGCTTAACCAAGGAGGAAGGGAGAAGAAATTATAGATTAGAGGAACACAAAGAAACACGAGAATCAAACACAACGTTTACATGTTTATAATGCAAATTCACGTGTCTACATGAGAATCCCCAGCTGACATCGGGGCACTTGACACCAACAGCAGCACGGGTAGAGTGCGATGCAGTGCTGGGCACCGCCGGAAGTGCTTCATGCGTATTAGCACCTTCAATCCTTTCAGCAACGCTGTGGTTAGGTATTAAAATCATTCTGCAGACTGGAAGCTGTGAGAGCTTAATCAGGCTCCTGCAGTTACACAGTAAGATAACCATGTTACACTACCACCTGACATTCGTTTTACCTAACATTTGTTCTCATTTCCTATGAGCGGGCTCTGGGCTGTGCTTTGAATACCTTATCTCGTTGAATTGCCATGGCTGTCCTGTGAAGTCGAGTCTGCTCTGCAGTTTGTTGGGGCCATAAAGAATTAGTGGCGATGAGCCTAGCCAAACGGTGTGAGTTTGAACCCACAGCCTTCTACCGTGTTTCCCCGAAAATAAGACATCCTCCGAAAATAAGACCTACTTACAGGTTTCCTTCTGAGAGAATTATAAGGCATGCCCCCGAAAATAAGCCCCCCCCCCCCCCCGGCTCTGTCTCAGAAACTTTGTGAAACCTAAAATGCAAGAAGTTGTGACTTGGGTGAAGAATTCATGGGAGAAAATCACTGACAGTTGCATTGCAAATGCACTGCGAGCAGGCTACCTTGACAAGAAGTACTCATTTAAAGACAGTGCTATTGCTAAACATGAGAGATTTGGTCCACTGATTCTGAAAGAAATGGAGTCACAGGAAATTCAGGAATTGGATTGTTATGATGATGTTCCAGAAGATGATGACATGATTGTCACTGAATAAATGAGTAAATTCTTGATACTGTAGGATTCACAGTTTGTCTGGTTTGTGTTGACAACTACCGTACTACCGTACCGTATACAGGTAATAAATTTCCTTTATTTTCGTTTAACAATAAATGTGTACCGTATTCTTCTTCATGGAAAAATAAGACATCCCCTGAAAATAAGACCTAGTGCATCTTTGGGAGCAAAAATTACCGTATTTTTCGGACCATAAGACGCACTTTTTTCCCCCCAGAAGTGGGGGGGGAAAGTCCCTGCGTCTTATGGTCCAAATATAGCCTACACATATACTTTAAAAAAAAAGTTTTTTTACTTGCCCGGCTCTGTGTGGTCTCTGTGTGCTTGCCCGGCTCTAAAATGGTTCTAAATGCTGCTGTTTACTTTACAGGGTTGATTACATGTGTTTATGACTGTGATGTTGGGTTTTAATGCACATAAAATATTTTAGGACACTATTTGTTTCAGAATCTTTTTTTCTTCATTTCCCTTCTCTAAAAACTGGTGCGTCTTATGGTCCGAAAAATACGGTAATATAAGACACTGTCTTATTTTCGGGGAAACAGGGTAGTAGAATCCTAGTGCAAACCTCACAGGACTGGTGTGAGAACTGAATGCGATGTGCAAAGTCCCAGCACACACCACCTACCACGTAGAAGCACGAATAAGAAGCCGCAAATTTTTTATTAGGCTAATTTAGTAATTTTGGGACATTCTTCAATTAGAGACAAGAAGAGTTTTACATGAACATCAGCGCAAATGGCTGCACAATTTGGCACACAGTGTCATTTCCTAAGTATAAGATGTTGGTATATATTACTTTGAGTGATTTTCATGATCGTTTTAGAAACAGTGGCGGATATATCGTATATTTTTAAGCTTTTGAATCATATCATTGGAGGGACCCTGGATTACGTCCCAGGGGTTTTGGGCTCTCCAGAACCTAATTTGAAAACTGCCATTAAGTTATTATCCTCTGACCTGTGAGCTTCTGGCTGCTTTGTTCGGCCCCTCCTTGCCCCTCTCACAAGCCTGTATTTTCACCAGCCTTGGCCCCACTCCCTCTCCCAGCCCCCTTTCTGAACCTCTGCGCCTCCTACCTGTGCTTCAGCCGAAGCTTAGCTCCTCCTGACCATGCCGCCTTCCTGTGCTGGGGGTCCGCGGTGAGGGGCTCCGGGCTCGGGGAGTCAGAGGTGCCGGTATCTGCAGGACCCGGTGCTGCACACACATCTCTGCAAAAACACACACACAGGAAACAGGAAGGTGAGCGTGATGGTGTTCGTGGCAAGGGCACACGTGAATCTAACAAGAAGCACACGTGAACATCAACCCTGGAGTTGGAGCAAAACAACAGAGCTAAGAGGAAAGCTATAAGCCGGCGGCCACGAACGTTCTCTGCCCCAAAGCAGGCGAATCCTATGTTTCGCCTATGTTTCTATCAAGCATTGTCGAGCACTGCCAACCTCAGAATAACAGGTTTTCCAGCCAAGGGGGACGAAAGACACACTCGCTATGATGAACTCCCCTATAATTCAGCATCCATGGGTAAGTGAAAAATGGGACTCACGGAAGCCCACGGTCAGACGGGGTTTCCTGAGACCCCGCCCGCTGCCTCACCTCTAGAGAACATCTGCCTGCAGGGCAGCCCTTCTCTGTTCGGAGGGGGCAGCTCCCAGCACATGCCAGCTCCCGAGCCCCAGCTAGTTCAGATGGTTTGGATTCCACTGCCCTGCAGACAAGCCTGGTATGTGTCCATTTATTTTTTTTAATATATTTTATTGATTTTTTACAGAGAGGGAGAGAAAGGGATATAGAGTTAGAAACATCGATGAGAGAGAATCATCTATCAGCTGACCCTTGCACCCCCCCCCGACTGGGGATGTGCCTGCGACCAAGGTACATGCCCTTGACCGGAATCGAACCCGGGACCCTTCAGTCCGCAGGCTAGCGCTCTATCCGCTGAGCCAAACCGGTTTCAGCGTGTGTGTCCATTTAAATGCCCCTCCCCGCCCAACCCGGTCCCTAACACCATCCCCGTAACTTGTTCCTCCTCACTCCCAGGGAGTCAGAGAAAAATGTTAAGCCCCGTGTGGCCAACGCACTGTGCCATGGGAACGGGCACATTTCTTGGCTGTGGAATTTCCAAACGCCCCCACCCCCCACCCCCCAGGCCTCCCCTGATGGGACGGCCCCCAGCACCGGGCTCTGAAGGGGGTTTGCCACATTCCACCTGTCTGGGTACCGGCACGCTTCCAGCGCCTGTCCTCGGCGGTCTAAGCCTCCGAGAGCGGTCTAGTTCGCCCCGCATGGACCACGGAAGCAGGCGTCTGAGAGGTGCTAACCGACAGGCCTTGGCTGAGGGGGTGGATCCCTGAAAGGTATTGATTTCTTGTCATTTCAAGATGTGGGGAGAGATGGCCGGGGAGTCGGCGAGGAGTTCCCATTCCTAGGCTCAGGTTCATCTTTACCTTCATGGTACCTAAGCACCGTCACCTCCTTCTGCACATGCCTTCTCCCACCAAATTTAGGATTTCTGGCTTTGACATTCCATCGTCCATCCAGGTGGAAAACGGTCCCGGGATCAGTGGCGGGAAGCCTTTCGGCCCAATGACCCCCGTGTTGGGATCCTCACTTGGCCCTTCTCTCTCCTGGCCAGTTGCTGTATCTGTCTATGGAGCTGGGGCTGTCTCCAAAGTCACATGTTTTTCTACCCACCTGTGGTTCCTGTGCTGCCTGCCCCAGGACAGACTGGAACCGGCCACGGCTGCCACGCTTGGATCTCATCAGGAAATGGTGCCAGCAGGGCACCCCGTGACTGGGGCAGATTAGTCAAGCCTTTGCTTTTAAAGCTGGGGGTACCTTCCCCTGTGTCGAGAGCTATTCTCCGAACTTTTCCAGAAGACAAGAACCAATGTTTTAGCCCCATGTTCCAGGTGAACAAACCAAGACACCGGGAAGTGGTATATATCCTGGCCAAACCGCATATGGAATCATCCTCACTGTGAAAACCACTGGCAGCCACTCACGCTGCTTCTTCCCAGCTTAGTATCTTTCACTTTATGTCACAAACTCTGAACCGCGAACCCAGATTTGGACAGAATAGGTAGAGAAGGGTGATGGCAGAGCCATTCATTAAACATGTTACCAAATGAGCTTGTTTTTACTTAAAAGATACTCAGAGCTAACAGTGTTTTACTTGACCAGTTAACTGCCACGATATTTTGAACTTAATTAAAAAAGGCCCACCACTTGTGTCTACAGACACTTATGCGGTACAAATGGTTAAGGATACTAAAAACAAATTGAAAAACCCACAAAACCAGAAAAAACACACCACACACACAAAAAGACAAAATCCACCAAAAAACAAAACAAAACAAAAAACCCAATCATAAAAAAAAAAAAAAAAAAAAAAAAAAAATGTAGAATGAATGAAACTGCTTCAAAGTGAAAAAATACAGAAACAAACCTCCACCTTATGGGGCTACTTCCCGATTCCCAGAAGGTACCCCCTCTCCTGGCTTATCCACAGCTGCCCTTCACGTCTGCGGTCTGGACATCCTTGGCTCCAGGTGCAGGCCAGGGGGAGCCTTTTGGAGACATCCCTTTGGATTGATGCTGGGTGTGTCTGTGTACTCATTTTTATAATTTGCCCTATTTTAAGTCATGTTCTTGGTTTCCCGCGTGTCTTTTTTTCTTTGTGTCCTGCTCCACGTCCATCGTGCATGAAGCGGGACTGACTGCCTGTCATCTCTCTATCCTGCCCCTAGTGGCATCGCCATAAGCTCCCAGCACCGGTCCCCTTGGCCTCCTACAGTGCAGAAGGTCCACACTCCCGGCGTCTTGAATGTGTCTGCAAGACGTTTTTAAGAACTGATACTGGTGGGTATAGATTTCTGTTCTTAGGTTAACACAGCTGTTCTTCCTTTTCTGGTGGCTGAGCATTTATCAAATAAATTGCTCTGTCTTTAAAATCCCCTTGTTCCTGCTGCTGACCTTTTGGGACCCATATATTCAGACATAACCTCTGGGTCACTGTCCCTTCATTAGTCTCCTTTTCTTCTTTCTGTTTAATCATTATTGAGGAGCTTGTTCTGTGTCCCCTCAGGCCTGTATCCTATCTGGTGCTCTCTGTCACAGGCATAACAAAACCTCTCTGTCTTCGGCTCCCCCACTCTGGTCTGGCAGCTTGGTGGTTACAGGAAGGTCATACTTAACCCGTCGGCCGTGCGTGGATGTACACCTGTGTCTCAGATCCACGTCCATCTGTCCCTCCTGTCTCTCTTGCTGCTGCTCTTTCTCACTTGATTTCCCCTGAAACCACTCAGATGAATCCGCATGTATGATTTATTCCACTGGCCTTCAGCATATTTCTGATTCCCCCGCCCCCCCCCCCAACCATAAGCTTAACTATCGCCAGATCTTAGCCAATGATTTCTGTGTCAGCCTTGCACAAAGACTGGAAAGGGGTGGGTGTGGAAAAATAAACAAAAGTTTAACCTAATACATATTTAATCTGCTCAGATTTACTTTAGGCTTCAATCCTTCCACCTACTGAAATCTGTGTCATTTAGGCCCGGGGTCAGCAAACTGCGGCTCTCGAGCCACATGTGGCTCTTTGGCCCCTTGAGTGCGGCTCTTCCACAAAAACCATGGCTAGGTGAGTCTATTTTGAAGAAATGTCTTTAGAAGAAGTTTAAAAAACTTGGCTCTCAAAACAAATTGATTTGGCTCTGTTGACTAATGAGTTTGCCGACCACTGACCTAGCCTAAGGGCCCTCATGCAAGACCTTATAGTTAAACTGATGATAACTCCCCCACTGGAAGGGAGGGTTTGATACCCTGTGAAACACTCGGAGCCTGACTGTGCATCAGTGGCAGTCATTAGTGGCAGGCTGCATGATGTGTGTGAGCAACATGGATTCTGGAGCCGCTGCTCATCTCCTGTTCAGGCTCTAGCAGCCAGCGGGTGTTTGACCTTGGGCAGGCTGCTTAACCTGTTTCCTTCTCCATGAAACAGGAGCAGTGGCACCTGCATCAAAGGGCAGTGTGAGGCTTCAGTGAATTGATATGCGTAAAGCGCTTAGTGCCTTGCAAGAAATGACAACTTCTAACCAACAGAAAAGAAACTCACACTTACTAGGCACATGTATGTACCAGATAATTGAGCTTCTAAAAGTTATTCAATTAATATTCCTATCATCTGGGGGAGTGATGGTCCTCATTTTACAGACAAAGAAAGTGAAATGAAGTAAAAGTGGAAGTATAGCCACAGGCCACGCCCTCTTCGCTCCGCCCCTCATTACAAGCCTCCGAGGAGAACGAGGATTTGAATGCTTTCTTTCTTAGCCATCAGCCACATGCCAAGCCACGCGTGCCTGTCATTGCTTCCACATCTCCCTTTTGCTTCTCATATGAAACAAAAAGATATGCATGAAGACAGAAGACCAGCAAACATGCCAAAATGTTACTACTGGGTCATAAGAGTATGGGTGATATTTTTCTTCTCTTTTTCTGTATCTTACAAATTGTTTCCAATGAACATTTATCATTTTAACTATCAGAAAAAGTAAATTAGCCTTATTCCCCCTCCCTCCCCCAAAGTAGATGAGTCTGAGAGTCTAATTTCTCCATATTTTTAAAGGAAAGTCTTGGTCGGGAAATGGAAGTGGATGTATGTATCCCAGGAGCCAATTGGAGCAGCGGGAAGACTTCACGTGGAGGCAGGATTTACTCTGGTCGTTTCTGCAAACACTGATTCAATTTGGGATCGTCTTCACTCATTGGAGAGGAAGTGGGATTTCTCAGAAATCGGTATTAGCAGAGGGAGACAAAACCACCCTGAGAAAAGCCAGCCCCTGCCTTTCTGCTCTCGCTCCTGCCTCGAGTTCCCAGTGAACCATTATGATTCCTCGTTTTAATATCAGACATGACAGCATGAAAGCACCTTTTGTGTATGATGCATTTGGCCCTAATAATCCTGAAGGGCAAGTAGAGCAGGTGTTATCTGTTCCCATTTAGCAGATGTAGACAGCCTCAGATTGGGATGATTACCTGTTTGAGGTCGGGATGTATAAGTGCCACAGCGGGCATGTGAAGCCAGGGTGTCTAACTCTGGATTCTCCAAGCCTGAAAGTCCATCGACTCAGATGGCAAACATTTAATACCAAAAGCTTCTTTAAAGGAAAGTTTTTTCCAAAGAAAGAGGAGTTACTGAGATTTTAGGTCGGAC